GATGACACACCAGAAAACTCACACAAGAAGGAAGTCCCATAAATGCCACGAATGTGGGAAAGCCTTTTTCCAGACGTTATCTCTCTTCAGACACCAGAGGACTCACACTAGTGGGAAACTCTACGAATGCAGTGAATGTGGGAAAGGCTTCTCCCAGAATTCAACCCTCGCCATCCATCAGAAGATTCATACGGGTGAGCGCCAGTACACGTGCGGTGAATGCGGGAAGGCCTTCACCCAGAAGTCAACGCTCAGCTTGCACCAGAGAATCCACTCAGGGGAGAAGTCCTACGTGTGCATTGAGTGCGGACAGGCCTTCGTCCAGAAGGCGCACTTGACCGTGCATCAGAGAGGCCACACCGGAGAGAAACCTTACCCATGCCACAGCTGTGGGAAAGCCTTCATTTCCAAGTCACAGCTTGATATACATCGCCGAATTCACACCGGGGAGAAGCCTTATGAATGTGGTGACTGTGGAAAAGCCTTCACCCAAAAATCACACCTCAACATCCATCAGAAAATTCACACCGGAGAAAGACAACACGTATGCGGCGACTGTGGGAAAGCCTTCAACCAGAAGTCCATACTCAGCATGCATCAGAGAACTCACACCGGGGAGAAGCCTTACAAATGCGGCGACTGTGGGAAAGCCTTCACTTCCAAGTCACAGTTCAAGGAGCATCAGCGCATTCACACTGGAGAGAAACCTTATGTGTGCACTGAATGTGGGAAGGCCTTCAATGGCAGGTCAAATTTCCACAAACACCAGATGACGCACACCAGAGAGAAAACCTTCGCCTGTTACAAATGTGGGAACGCCTTTCTCCAGAAATCAGAGTTGGTGGCACATCAGAGAACACATGTTGGGGAGAAGCCTTATGAATGCTATGACTGTGGGAAATCCTTCGGCCGGAAACCACAGCTCCAAGTGCATCAGCGGATTCACACGGGAGAGAAGCCTTACGTATGTTCTCAGTGTGGGAAGGCCTTCAACAACAGATCCAATTTTAATAAACACCAAACAACTCATGCTAGAGACAGGTCTTATTAAAGCAATTATTGCATGAAAGGCTTTACCTAGAAATCAGTTCCTCGTATGCATCAGCGTATACACGAATGAGACAAACTAAATTTCTTGAAGAAGAGAAAAATCTCCCAAGCGTCAGATTCAGTTGTAGGTTACAGAATCCAGGATTCTGAAGAACTCCAGGAAAGCACTGCGTGTCGCAAAGTTGCACATCATTTGACGTGAAAGAAAGGGCTCAGAAAATAACATGAATTAACATGATTGAGGGTAAATGTCCATATTTGTACTAGCCTTGTTAAGGACTATGAAACTCATCTGGGAAGAAGCCCTGACTGACACACTGAGAATTGTGTTCCTCTGGGAAGTACAAGACTTGTACCAGATGGGTTATAGGAAAATTTGTGAGAAATTAATGGTAACCCTGTTGAATTTGGAATATCGGTATTTTCAAAGAACTAGAAACCGGAATGACCAGACAGGTGTGTGTGTGTGTGCACCTATATAACACTCAGTTCTCTAGTGTTTGCTGTAGGCTTCACTGCATAGCAGAGGTGTGGGAAGGTTTATTTGTAAAGGATCTACCATAATTAAGTCTATCAAATTTATTCCCAATTGAATAAATTACTGAGATTGCACAGTCAGTAATTACTAGTTTCTTTATACACACAGGCACAGCTACCTCATTTTGTCGTGCTTTGCAGATACCGCGTTTTTACAAATTGAATGGTTTGTGGCAGCCCTGTGTCGGGAAGGTCACTGCCACCTTTCCCCATGGCGTTTGCCCCCATCATGTCGGTCACATGTTGGTTGTTCTTGGGATATTTTCAAGTTTTTCATTATTATCCTATTGGACGTGGTGATCTGTGATGAGTCATTACAACTCACTGAAGATTCAAATGATGGTTGGGTTTTTTTTTTTTTAAGTGTTTTTTAATAAGGACACACTTTCCTTAGGGGTACCGCTGTTGCACACTTCATAAACTATCATGTAGTGCCGACGTGACTCTCACATGCACCGGGAAACCCAAAAATTCATTGGACATGTTTTATTGCGACATTCGCTTTATTGAGGGGCCTGAAACTACCCAAAGCTGCGGTATCTCTGAGGTGTGCCTGTCTCGACACGCGAATGTACTTTCTTGGTTAAATGTATAAATGGGATTTTGTAACATACACTGGCCTTCATAGTGCACCTTTTCTCTTTCGTGACCCGCTCAGCTCTACCACCCCGCCCCCATTTCTTTCCACTTCCACCGTCTGGTGAGCAGCTCCATAAATGACCAGTGTTAACCTTACAGTATGGACTTCTTTGTATTTTTACACAGGCTCCTGATCATTTACACCAGGAGTCAGCAAACCCGCCGTCAGTCAAATAGGGTTGGCCACCTGCTCTTTGGAATAAAAGTTTTACTGGACGCAGCCATGCTTCTGCGTTGATGTGCGGTCTGTGACCGCCCCTGTGCTCCAGTGGCCTGTGTGCACGCCAGAAATACACACCATCTGGCCCTTTCCAGAAGATTACCTGATACCCACCTGCGCTGATAATCTGTACCCGGGTGGGAACTCCGTCCTCTGGAAGCACCAGATCACACCACACACACGCGGGCACCTCGGTTCTCCCTGCCGCTGTGCGTCTGTTAGTGGCTGTGTGGTGTGTGCGGTGAGCACACTGGACCATCCTCACAGGTTTTACTATTCGTTCTTGGCGCTTTCGTTGCTACAGGACAGCGGCCGGGCTGCCTGCTCTTCCGGGGCATGGGCCCAGGAGCCAGGTACCCAAGTTTAATCAAATGCCGGTCACACAAGTGTTTAGCTCCTCTGCCCTGGGTTTTTAAAGGATGATGCTAACAGTGCTGGGTGGGTGGGTGGGTGGTCAGCACTTAGAGCCACATGGAGAGAACCTGAGAGTTTGGGGCTCTGAATCAACGCCTGGAAATGAAAGGGTGGGGATGAAGGCTGGAGGAGAGGAGAAGTGGGTAAAATAAACTGTCCTTTAATAGGAAACCAGTTGGGAGGGCTGCCCTGCAGCCCAGGTCTTGGGGATCCTGGTCCAGCCTCCAGCTCCCCTGCAGCCTGCCACGGGGGCTCCTAGGACCGGGGAGTGGGGAACTCGATGTCCACGGTGAGGTTGGTGTAGAGGGGCTGCAGCTTCTTGGAGAGCAGCCTGTAGCCCAATGAGTCGAAGCCATCCTGCAGCCCTTTGTGGCAGATTGAGGCCAGGAGGTCGGGGCTTAGGGGAGGGGGAGCAGCCACATGAGCCCACGACCTAGGGATCACCTTAGGTGGGACATCCTGCTTCAAACCCCAGCTTACCTCTGGGGGCTCCGCTGGTGGCTGGGGTCCTGCCCCTCCAGCATGTGGTAGCGACCGAAGAGCAGATGGGGTTGGGAGAGAAGCATCCCGCTCAGTTGCAGCCTTACAGGGGGAGAGGACAGGGAACCCATGCCACACCCAGCCCTTCAGGCGACGGTGGCCCATGTCCCCCACACCATGGGGGGACCTGCAGCCCCATGCTAGGTTCCTCAAGCAGGGCCCCCACCTGGCAGTGATGTCATGGTCCTCACGATCCCAGCCCCGGTACGAATTGGGAAAGCCGATGATCCTCAGGTAGTGAATGGGGCGCAGGGCAAACACACCCCCAAGGTAGCCGTGGTAGGGTAGCCTGGAGAAGCAGAGAGAGTTGGAAACAAGTTTCAGGCCACAGGGGCCCTGGCTAGGATCTCCAGGCATTATTTCTGGGTTTGCCCTTCCCCACTCACCCCTGTGATAACTAACCACTCCCCTGACCCCTCAGGTGTCCCCTTCCCTAATCTTAGAGTAGCCCTTCCTCTGACCCTTGAGATGGGCCCTCATTTGACCTGGGATATTCCCTCCCCTAAATCTGACAGGCCCACTTTGTGACCCCTTGATGGCCCTTTCTCCCAAGACTTCTGGGATAACCCTCTCCTGCCCCCCAGACAACCTGTCCTTTCATATATGTTCTTCTCTGACCTCCATCAAGACCCTATCACTGACCCCTCCCCCCACCCCCCAGTTAACACCTGCATCCCAAAGGAAGGTTCTCCCCTGTCTACAAGGCTTTCCCTTGGGCCCCATCATCCCTCTCTGCCTCGGTGCCAGGGAAGCACAGGGCCTGGCCAACCATCCCCCACAGGAAGCTCCCTCCCTCCACCTACTTGTAGTCGAACTTGTGGATGGCCACAGACACATGGGCAGGGAAGATGTCGCAGATGTAGAGGTTGCGGTCATCCTCCGGGAGGAGGTTCACATCATGGAAGAAGACACAGTCCCATTCCTCCTCCTGCATGGCCTCCCAGAACCCCACGTTGCGCAGCTTGCCCCGGTCGAAGGCGGTGTTGTGCACCTGGGATGGACAGAGACGCTCCGTGCTTTCTTGCCAGCAGGCAGAGCATGCCCCCAGTGGCCAGGCCTGTCCCCCCCCCCTTTTCAAATGCCATTCTCCTGCCTGGACCCTATTCCCACTGGAGCTGGAAAACCCAGACCCGTCCACAAGGGCACAGTTCAAAGGTTACCTTCCCTGGAAAACTTCCTGAATTCCCGCCCCCATCCTACGCAGAGTCAGTATCGACAGCCCCTTGCTCCGTCTATGGCCATTTCCAAGGTTCTCAGGGAACCTCCCCTTTAAGAGACGGTCTGAAGGAGGCAGGGATTAGGGTGAGCAGGGAGCACCTACGGCTTTCTGCTCTTACCAAAGACGGGGTCTGATGCCCAGAAACCATGACAGGGTTCTCCTCTCCCTCTCTCGCTCCATGGTCATGTTCTCCTTCATCATCTTCTTGACTCATAAATCCAGCCCCCATCCATCCTCTGGCCCAAATGCTGTCAGCTCAGAGGCTGACGACTTCAACCTTGACTCTCCACGGCCATGCTCAGTCCCCTCTGTCTTCTTGTCTCCAGCCCTCCCCGTGCTGGCTGTACCTGGTTCACCACGTAGATGGCATAGTGCAGTTGCTGGCGCTGCAGGAAGGGGTGCAGGTGGAAGAGCAGGTGCTGCAGGTGCTGGTCTTGCCCATAGTAGGGCACCGCGACCGCCGTGTGGTGTCATGTCCAGCAGTCAGGAGGCCGGTACTGGCCTCCCAGCTCCACCAGCAGGTTCTTCTCCACCACCTGCTCCATCGTCAGGTTCTCTGGGATCATCACCCTCAAGGGGCCATCTGAAAGGGGCAGATGTCAGGGACCTGCCCCAGAAATGCCACAACCTAGCTGTGTTCAATCATGTCCACCCCCACCACCTCCGCCGTCGCCAAACCATGTCTGCCAGCACTTTAGAATGGGACCTTGGAAACAGGGTCCATGCAGATGCAGATGGTTAGAATGTGGAAGTTCTGGATAAGGGTGGGCCCTCAATGTAACAACTGGTGTCCTTATAAGATCATCTGAAGACCCAGCGAGAAGGCAGCCGTGGAGGCAGAAATTAAAGTGACCTGCTTACAAGCCAAGGAAAGCCAAGGATCGCCACCAACCACCGGAAGCTAGGAGAGAGGTGTAGGATGGCTTCTCTCTCGGAGCATCTGGGAGGAACCAATCCTGCCCCAACACCTTGATTTTGGACTTCTGGCTTCTAGAACTGTGGGAAGATAACTTTGTGTTGTTTTAAGGATGTCTCCCCTGGGCTGGTTCTCAGGACACCGGCTCTCCCTGCACCTCGGACTGCTCCTTCCAGTTCCCTCACTGAGGGCTCCACCATCCACCTGCCCAGCCCCAGCGGCGGCTCTGGCCCAACATGCCCTTCTTACAGTGTGACTTTGATGCTCCCCCCAGGGAGAGGTGAGTCTGTCTCCACCCCTTAAAATTGGTTGTGGGGAGCGCTTTATGACAGTTTCAAAGAGTAGAGTATGTCAGAAATGACAGTACATGGCTTTTGAGACTAGATCATGACTTCTGCCTGATTCATGTGCACACTTGCTCCTGAAGTTTGCGGTTGCCGCGTAAGCGCTTGGGCTGCCATGCTGTGAGGAAGCCCACACGAGCCCGGGAAGGGGCTACGCAGCGACTCTGAGATTTCGTGGGGAGAACGGGTTGCTTCTACTCCAGCTGCTGTCTTACCTCCAGCAATATCGCACTGCAACTGCGTGAAACACCTGGACCACGACTGCCCAGCGGGACCCTTCCCCAGACTCCCAACCCAGATACACGTTGAGAGTTGGTGACTTTTAGAGACACTCATATCTGGGGTCGTTCGTTATGATACAGCCACAGATGACCAGCACATCTCTCCATCACCCCCGGCCACAAGGCCTGTGCCGTCCGCTTCCAGGATCTGTCCCTCTCCCCTGGGAGTCCTGCGAGCTCCCCAAAGCCCAAGGCAGGGTTGAGGGTGGAGGATGCCCCGACAAGCTTACTCATGTAGGGGGAGATGAGGGGGCAGCTGGGCAGGTCCTCCTTCCTACGGTCCACAGGGTGGATCTGGCTGAGGTTGGCGTATACATCCTGGGAAGAGGTCCCTGCAGAGGAGACCGAGACCAAAAAGGGCAACTCTTCTCCCACCGCTGGCCTGTCCCGTCTCAGGACACACAAGAAGGAGGCAAGGCTGTGGTGGTGGTGGTGGTTCTGGTAGAGGAATGCCCCCATAAGCAGCAGCTGTACCCCCAGAAATAATAACAGGAGGCCCCTCTGCTGTTCCGTTCTGGGAAAGGAAACAGAAGGTCATCTCCCCATTTTGCAAAGCCCATCTTCACCCCATATACCTCAGTTGCAGGGGCCTGCACCCACTCCCCCTGACTGCGCGCTGGAAGGGGGGCCAGGGTGAGAGAACGGCGCGGCTGCTCAAGCTGCACCACCCGCATGAAGACCCTGCCTTGTGCACATCTCCAGCCTCATCTCCTCCAGCCGGTCACCTCCAAACCCCAGGGTCACAGTGGACCCTAGCTGGTTGCTCCCCTGGGTGACTCTCTCTAAGGCTCAATGTCATTGTCTGTAACGGGCACTACATGGGATAGAGCTCACTGGGTTGCTGCACTAGGAGACGCGGTGTGCAATGCGACCGGCTCCAGATTATTCCAGACTGTGCCAGGTCTGATCATATCTCCAGCGTCCTGTATGAAAGGGACCTACGTGACTCCTGTTCATTCTGGGTGCTCTTCTTCCCTGTAACGGGCACCAAGTAGCCCCTTAGAGGCTTACACGGTCTCTATATCTACCTCCACCACAGTCTGTCATCCTGGATCGTGACTGTCCTATCAACTGCCCCCATCAGACTAGGAGCTTGCAGAGAACAGGGTTCAGGACTGACTCATCTCAGCCCCTGGCACAGGAGGGCCCAGGAAATGAATGATGAAGAGTGAGTGCTAGAAGGATTTGCAACCTGATATACTCCTGCTCGTCCTCAGCCACCGCAAGTTCTCCTCTCCTCTTCTCCACATCCTCCCCTATCTGCCTCAGCCCTCCTGGCCCCCCGTATCTCAGCTGTCACTGCTCTGGCCCCCAGACAGGGAATGATCTGTGTCCAGATCTCCTTCCCTCACCACACAGGGAGTGGGGCAGGCCTCAGCCCAGCTCAGCCCTGGGTCCCTAGCATTACCCAGCACAAAGGCTGAGTGTTTGTTCAACTCTAGTCACTAAGCATCACTTCTGTGCCAGGATTACTGTGCAACCAACAAAGCTGCCACAAGCAAAATCAGCAAAACCCTCTACTCCCGGAAACCCACATTCTGGTTGGGAAGACTGGCAAGAAAAAGGTTTCAGTGAACAATAAGAACCTATACATCGAAAGGGGTGAAGAAGGAAATGGATGGAGGCTATCTCTGCTAGGTGGCTGGGCAAAGGGAACAGCAGGTGCAAAGTCCCTGAGGTGGGCAGGGGGAGTCAAAGGGCACTGAAGAGTCACACACAGGCTGGTGTCCTTGTCACTAAGTCGGCGAGCGTATTTTCAGATGAACCAAAAAATTATCTCATTACAGAAGCAGGCTCAGGGCTGCATCTCAAATGTGGAACAAAACAGAATGTGATCGGGGACAGAATGTCCTTCAATTCTGAAGCACGGAGACAAGAATTGAGTGTCGGTAGCAAACCCCGTGTTGTGGGGCAGGAATAAGGAAGAACTACCTGCTGGTAGAATTCCTCTTAGCTTTCCAGCTGGAAAGACAGCATACAAAAGAGTGTTGTTTCACAGAATACCAAGCCGGCTTTTGAGTGGCACTCCAAATTCAGATGCCCCGCCTTTAATCAAAATGAGAAGAAACACCCAGATATGGTGGAAACGTACCCCATTCTCACACAGAAGACAAGTGATGATCAAGTATGTCTCAGGAGCCCTCGGGACCAAAACCAGTCTTGGCAACATGCTGGTAGAATTGGCCCAGCAGCAGTTTACGAATGTATTCACTGAAAACAGCAGGGCTCATACTAATCCCTACTTCTCAGCTGTGAATGCTGCGGGTGTGGACCGTTCCTGAGTCCTGCTGCACCCGCCAGTGTCCAGCTGCTCTGTTAAGTCGGAGGTGCCAGCACAGCCTCGGTGGTGATTCGATTTCCTCTTCCTAGGCAGGGGGTCGGTGAGCTTAGGGGAGCAAGGAATCTTTCACGGCGTATGTGTGCTCAGGAGTGTAATTCTTCACACAGGAGTTGGCTGCATCTGGTGGTTTCCATGGGGCCACCAACAAAGGGAGTGTGTTGGACACACAACACCCAGTGTTAGGACATGCAGGCCCACTTCTCCAGATTTCCCCCTCCTCCTGCAGGACAGGAAAGGCTGCTGTTGAAAGTGTGGGCTGTCTCCTGGAGAGCCGAGTAAAAAGGACCCCTCCGACTCCACAAGAAATGTGACAGTCACGTTTTTGTGGACGGCAACAAGCTTTTATCTTCTGATCCCGCGTTTTATAATCAATCCCTATTGCAAATACAGGGTTTTGTGGTTTTTTTTTTTTTTTAAAGATTTTATTTATTTATTTGTCAGAGAGAGAGAGAGGGAGAGAGAGCGAGCACAGGCAGACAGAATGGCAGGCAGAGGCAGAGGGAGAAGCAGGCTCCCTGACAAGCAAGGAGCCCGATGCGGGACTCGATCCCAGGACACTGGGATCATGACCTGAGCCGAAGGCAGCTGCTTAACCAACTGAGCCACCCAGGCGTCCCATGTTTTGTTTTTTTTTTTATTTTTTTTTTAAGATTTATTTATTTGACAGAGAGACAGCCAGGGAGGGACTGAGAGAGGGAGAAGCAGGCTTCCTGCTGAGCAAGGAACCTGACACAGGCCTTGATCCCAGGACAGTGGGATCATGACCTGAGCCAAAGGCAGACACTTAACGACAGTACCACCCAGGTGCCCCGGAAACATAAGGATTATGACTTAAGACACAGTGTGACTGTCACTTGGGCTCCTGGGGGAGAAAATTTAATTATGAACTCAATGACTAAAAAAAAAAATTTTGGAACCATGATCATGTGACTGTAGGGGTGGGAGCATAAATTTTCCTGTTACTTCCTCAAAAAATAGAAGAGTCCATTTCACTACTGTTGAAAGGTGAACCAGGTAGGATGAAATCAACTGCATACTGTTCCCCAAAGTTACATAAGATTTCAAGGAAAAAAAAAAAAACCTGACGTCTTACACTAGCAGCAATTCCCATGCATATGACATGATTCAAATTAGCACACCCACATTTCCCAATTGACATGTTTCCAAGTCTCATTTAATAAGTTATATTTTCATTTGGGGGAAGTAAGCTTTGTCCGGCTGCTGTGTGGTGCACGTACAACCAGTAAGGGCCCACAGTGACTTGGGAGACCCAGAGTCTCCCCCAAGGAGTCTGGACTCCCTCAATCGCCCTGGGAACTGGTCTCTTCCTCCTGGCAGGTTCCTGGTATATAGAACCTCTTTTATCTAGCAGAGGTCTTCCAAGTGGTGTGTCTACACACAACTCCCTGCATGGAAGTGTACATCTATTCTAGTCATTTAAGGTGATGGTTGGTTCACGTTGGGATGTTTTATATTCAGAACAACCAAAGCATGAGTGTTTAGTAGAGCTATTTTTTTTTTTTTAATTCAACTGCAATGTTTTCAGGGGAAATTTTTTTCAAGTTACACTGAATAAAATATCTAGATAAAAATCAATGGTCCTCATTAGAATTGATATGCATTTTTCTCTTAGGTACTTAAAGCCTATTTGAGTCATGTCATAAAATATTTACTCCATTAACAGTCAATCCCATCTCAAGTCACCTTGGAAAATGTATAACCACCTCTGTATTTCCACCTCTGATGCCTGGGTGGCTCAGTCAGTTAAGCTTGTCCCTTTGGCTCAGGTCATGCAAGCCCCATGTTGGGCTCCCTGCTGCAGGCGCCTTTTTTCCTTCTCCCTCTCCCTCTGCCTGCTGCTCTCCTCCTGCTGTGCTCTGTCAAACAAACAAACAAACAAATAAATAAAATCTTAAAAAAAGATGAGGTGAGGATACAAAATTCTTCAGAATGGTTTCCTCCCAAACAAAAGTATTTTAGAATTACTATAATATGCACATACACGCACACATTCAGACCCCTTCTGTCTTGGCTGGTTCCAAGATGTATGAAAAATTGTTTTAATAATTTCCTAAATCATAAAACCAAATGGGAAAATTCACTCATTGGATCATAAGTACATGTACTAAGCTTCTTGGTGAAGGTCCCTTTGTCCTGGGGAATGGGGCGGGATGACCTTGCAATTTGCTGAGACGTTCTCATGGTCCAAAGTGAGTATCACTGCAGTATAATGCAAGTCACAGATGTACTTTTACATTTTTTTTTAAAGATTTTATTTATTTATTTGACAGAGAGAGAGATCACAAGCAGGCGGGGTAGGGGGGAAGCAGGCTCCCTGCTGAGCAGAGAGCCTGACGTGGGGCTCAATCCCAGGACCCTGAGATCATGACCCCAGCCGAAGGCAAAGGCCTAACCAACTGAGCCACCCAGGCGCCCCTGTACTTTTACATTTCTATTAGTCCCATTTAAAAAGTGAAAAAATAAACAGGTACAATTAATTTTTTAACATTACACGTAAGCCAATATAGCAAAAATGTTATGATTTCAACATGTAATCAAGGTAAAGGATTACTGGAGAGATATTTTACATTCTTTCTTCACATGAAGTCTTCTAATCTGGTATTTTGTATTTACGGCACAGGTCTAATCAGACTAGCCACACACGGCCAGTGGGCGCCATACTGAAGAGCCATGCTGAGGACCCCTGTACATTTCCCCCACGCTCCTGGGAAAAACCTGTACTTTCCCAATATCAGCTACAAGTTCCACTTCAGACCTTTAGTTCAAGCTTGTCAGGGCTCTTGTTCGAATTTTCCACAGCTTTACAGTTTTTTATCTGCTTGACGAATTGCTGAGAAAGATGTGTTAAAATGTCACAGTGCTTCTAGAATGTGCCGGTTTCCTCTCATCCTGCTCACTTCGGCTTTATTTCTTTGGAGTCTGTGTTGTGAGGTACATCCAGTTGTTTTGCCGACCTGGTGATTCCTTCATCATTCGCAATGACATTCTTTACTACTCACAGTGCTTGTTGACTTGAAAATCTGGTGGTTGTAGCTGAACTCGGATTTCTTTGTGCTGTGTTCCTGGTGTGTCTTCTTCCCCTTTCACGTTCACACTTTTGAGTCTTTACTTATTAGATGTGGGTCTCATGTGCACAACAAATGTTTTTTTCTTAACTCACCTGGTGACTGAGACAATCTTGTTCATTCCTGTTTTGCCCCACACGAAATCTTATTAAGAAATTTTTATTTTTTTAAGTTATCTCTGCACTCAGTGTGGGGCTCAAACCTACAATCCCAAGATCAAAAGTCACATGCCTTTTGGAGACTGAACCTGCTAGTGCCCCCACAGCAAATCTTATTTAAAAACATTCCTTGGGGCGTCTGGTGGGGCTGAGTGGGTTAAGCCTCTGTCTTCGGCTCAGGTCATGATCTCAGGGTCCTGGGATCGAGCCCCAAATCCAGTTTCCTGCTCAGCAGGGAGCCTGCTTCCCTTCCTCTCTCTCTGCCTGCCTCTCTGCCTACCTGTGATCTCTGTCAAATAAATAAATAAAATCTTTAAAAATAAATAAATAAATAAATAAAACAAAAAAGGAAGAGAGCATGAATTTGAGTCTAGGCCTGTGTGTGTGACTCCAAAGTTCTTTCCATTACCTGGCTGGGAAAATCCTGGGGGACAGGGTGAGCTCAGGAAAGGTTTCCCCCGAGAGGTAGTATTCTGGGGCGGGTCACAAAGGATAAGCAGGCATTTAACCCCCACACCAAGGGAGGGAAAGGCACGCTGGGCATGAGAATGGAGAGAATGGAGGCACAAGAAAGCTCGCTGTGCATAAGTAGCAGCAGTCATGCCACCTCACATCTCTGGAGCTCTTACTCTGGCCCAGGAGCTGCTGTAAGCACTCATCAGGTGCCCCCTCCTCTCGGCCTCAGCACGTACTGACATTTTAGCCATGTTAGTTCTTTGCTATCAGGGCTGTGCTATGTGTTAGACGTTTTACCACTGCTGGATGCCAGTAGCCCCCTACCCCACTTGGGACAACCAAAAATGTCTCTGTCGAATGTCCTCTGGGGGTCACAATCATCCCAGGCTGAGAACCACTGCTGTCGTCCTATGAGGGCTGGACTATTATTTCGATGTTACAGGTGAGCAAATGTCAGTTGCCCACAGTTACACAACCAGGATGGTAATCCCAGGATCTGAACCAAGCTGCTTCTGGTGACCACTACGGTAGGGCAAGCTTCCTGCCTGGGCTCTGTGCTCACTGGGGGGCAGGTACCAGCAGGAGACAAGAAAGGAGGGGTGAGGCAGGGACAGCTCAGGTGACAGAGCCCAAGGTGATAGGGCCTCTGACCAAAGTGAGGCCCCGGGGCTGCGGGAGGCCCGAGGCGGCTTGCTCGTTAATATGCAGTGCAAGGGAGGACAGGTCCCGAAGGCTTCCTGGAGGAAGTATGTCCACACGGCTACCTGCATGAGAAACAGTAATTAATGTGGTGAGGAGGGGTGAGGGAGGGAGGGTCTTCAGGAAGAGAGGATGGCATGTGTAAACACACTGGCATTGGGTGGGACCTGCCAGAGCCACAGGAAGCTGAAAAGTCACCAGGGGCCTGGTTGCAAACACCAGGCTGAGGGGACTCAACCTTCCCCTGCAAGTGCTGAGCAGCCACAGTCCTCTGCCGTCTCCAGAAGCCTCTGCCACCAGCTTACAGTCTTTTCCACTGGATTATTAATGTGTTGCAACAAACGAGACATGAAGTGTTTGCAAAGCACCCATGAGGAGCTTCTGCCCAAACCATGCCAGCTTGCTGGTGGATGCGGCCACCGAGGGCTAGAGGGACTGATCCAGTTCTCACCATCACCAATTCCTGCCGCCCCACGGAAGTGACCTGAGGAACCAGAGCACCCCAGCCCCAAGCACTTACTAAGCACGGAGCCCCGATATTAACACTTTACACAGGTTAACTCACCGACTTCTTTAACCCAACCATGCTATCATCATCTCCACTGGACAGATGAGGACACTCAAGCACAGAAAGTTTTCATCACTTACTCAAGGTCACGCAACCAAGCAAGCGGTGTAGGACGTCAACTGGCAGGTAGGCTTTCACATCCTCTTTCTGTCCCTGACGTCCAGTTTGAGGTAAACCTTTTTTTACCAATTTCTCAGCTGAAAGTATGTGGGTGGTGTTCCGACCTGCTCAAGTACTTAGTGAAAGAAACTTGCAAAGTAGGAGACTAAAACCAACACAGAAACACCTGAACCTGTGAACCAAATACTAGTTTCTGGGTGAGAAAACCAACGTGCATCACAGCAGAATACCGCTTAGATCGTTTCTCACCTTTGGCACTGTTGTTTTGAACCAGATAATTCTTTACAGTGAGACACCAGCCCGTACACACTATGTTTGGAAGCATCCTTGGCCTCTACCTACCAAATACCAGTCACACCCTTCCCCTGCCTCCTTGTTGTGACAACCAAAAACGTCTCCAGAGAGTGCCAAATGTTCTCTGAGGTACAAAACCACGCCCAAACTGGGAACTGACTTACAGACTATCAGTAGGTTGCCTGAGGTTTTCAAACTCTCACCCACTCCTTGCTTTAAAAAGAAAAAATAGGGGGAACCTGGGTGGCTCAGTCGGTTAAGCATCTGCCTTCGGCTCAGGTCATAATCCCAGGGTCCTGGGTTCAAGCCCTGCATTGGGGCTCCCTGCTTGGTGGGAAGCCTGCTTCTCCCTCTCCTACTCCCCCTGCTTGGATTCCCTCTCTTGCTGTCTCTGTCAAATAAAAAAATAAAATCTGTAAAAAATAAATAAATAAATAAATAAATAAATAAAAGAAAAATTAGGCCTGGTCACCAAAGGAAAGCCATCCCTGGTTATGAAAACTAAGTGAAAACAATGACAGTTTACTGCTTGGTGAACACTTTGTATTACCTCATTTATCTTCACCAATAGTCTAAAGGGCAGATTCTGCTATTACCCCCCTCCCCCCATTACAGAGGAGGAATTTGAGATGCTGCCTGGAAATGCAGAGTCCATGCCAACTGCTCAGTAAGTACTGATCTTTCCCCCATGTCCTGGCTTGGAGCACTTGTAGCGTCTGGGTCCCTGCAGCTCCTGACATCTCATCCCTCCACATCAAGCTTCATCATCCTTATCTCCCCAGCCACGCCTGACACTCCTATGTCCCCCAGGGCAGAACCTGGCACACTGGAAGCCTCAGTCCATCACTAATGTATGAGCCCGATGACCCGGGGTTCAACCCTCTTGACAGCTTCAGAAGCTCCAAGGTCCCGCATCACCCTTCATTCTCAGTCCTCCCTATTAAGGGCTCACGGGGGTTAGAGACAAGAGAATGTTGGAATATAACACGCGGGAGAGGAGGCAATTTGGGGGCTGGAAAGCGACTGAGGGGAGCAGGGCTCTGGCTGACTCTTGAGAGAATGCACCCTAACCCTGGGAACCTCCCATGTCATGGGTCTCACCTGCCCTCCATCCCGAGCTCTGCCTTCAACCCTGCAAGGCTGGAGGTGCGCGCACTTGTCACTGGGTCACACCGGTGCGTAACTGCTCACCGGGGTCACGCCCAGACCCGGGCACGCGCCTGGAGAAGCGCAAACCGCTCCAGTCAGCTCCGCGCACGCACAACCCCGCAGCTGCACGGCCGTGGCTCCCACCGCGGGCGCGCACCCACTCTCACTCCCACGGGGGCGCGCGCAGAAGCCCACGCTGTGTCCCGGGCGACGCGGCCAATCCGGGCACCTGCGCGGCGCACGTGCCGTCTTTCTCCCTTGCTCACCCCTATTCCTTTCTCCCTCCACCCCGACAACTCTCCACCCGCACCTCAAATCCTATCAGACTCTCATAAAGGCTGAAAACCTAAAAGACAGCCATTGCGTCTTTACACTAAAGTACACAGCGCGAGATAACGTCTACAAACCACACGCCCCACCTGTTGTTGCGCAGGCGCAGACGACGGACGCGCCGGCCGGTCCTGGAGCACTCTGGGAGTCGTGGGCGGAGTGCGTGACGTCACCGCGAGGCTCTCAGGGTGTGAGCCTACTGGGTCTCGGAGCACTAGGCGCTTCGGGCCAAACCGCCCCACCGGCACCTGGGAGTCGTAGGCGGGTAAACCCAAAGCCTTCTGGGAGTCGTAGTCCCTTCACCGCTTCCGCATTTTCTCGGAGCCTGGACTTTCCTGCGCGGGTTCTACTCACGTGAGTGTTCCCTTCCTCTGCGCGCGGATCCTGGCCCTTTGTCGTACTCCCGTGTAGGAGCTGAGGGTCTCCATATTACTCTCCCACGCATTCCGGTAGGCATCCCTGGAGATATGGCTCTCCTCCGTGATCCCCCAACGCATTGTCTCTGGCGACCCTCGGGGCTAGAGTGCCCTAAGCAGCTGGTGTCCCTGCCGATCCGCTTTGGACTCTGCCTGTGTTCGGGCTCCTTCTCGTTTCCACCCCCCAACCTAAGGGCGGTCCCTCCTTTATCCTGATTACTACCTAGAGTGATCAGGGCTGGCGTGGGGGGCGTCAGGCAGCCGTGGGAGCCCAGAGGAGGTGCCAGAACCAGCCCAGGGTTCAGGAAGGACTTCCAGAGCAAAGGACCTCAAAATTTACCATGCCCAGACAAAATGACAGATTCTCTGGCCTAAACCTACGCCTCTCACAGTATTTGCCTAGTTTTCCTATTTCCCCCACCTCCTCTCCACGAAATGGTCCCACTATCCTTCCAGTGCTGAAGCCAGAACCCTGAAGTTGTCCGTGCTCTCTGCTTCTCTCACCTACTGCCTCGCTCAACCAAGTCTTGTGTGAGTCGCTCCTAATCTGTTTCCAGAAGAGATCCAGAATCTGACCCCTTCTCTCCACCTCCACTGCCTCTGCTCAGCCCTAAGCCGCATTATTGTTCACCTGGATCATCGCAGGGGCCTCCTTACTGATCTCCCCTCGCCACTCTCCACCCTCTGTTCACACGCAGCAGCCAGAGGGATCTTGTTAAAATATAAATCAGACACTGTCGCTACACAGCTTATAACCGTCCAGTGGTTCCCATCTCCTTCAGGATAAAATCCAACCTCCTCACCCTGCCAGCCTCCAAGCCCTGCTCCTCTTCCCTCCTCAGCCATAACTCACTTTCCAAGCAACTGAACCTGAACCTGCCCTTCAGGTCTTTGCATTTGCTATTAAATCTGTCTGGAACGTTCTTCCCACCCTGATGTAATATCTGACTCCTCATCCTTCTGGCCTCAGCTCAGAGGATAATTCCTCCATATTGCTCCTTATATTTGTAAGGTATCTTGGTTATTTACTTGTCAATGGTTTGGCTCCTCCACGAGAACTTGGTGCCAGCAACCGACCCTGTTTTGATCAGTGCTGTCCCAGTGCCTTATGCGTGTTGGGTAGATGGGAGGCAATGAATGGTGTCTGTTGGATGGAGAATGAATAATGAACGCTTAAGCTGAGATTTGAAGGTGTCAAGCTTGCGCAAGTGCTGAGAGAGTAGTCCAGGCAATGGGTGTACTCAGTGCTATCCAGGCCGCCTCCCTAGAGGCAACGACCCCGCAAGCCGGCATCTGCATGTAACCCGCCTCCCCTCTCTCCCTGTCCAGGAGAAGCCAGCTCCTCCCGGCCCGCCCGGAACCCGCCCCGCGATGCCCGCTCCGCAGTGCTCCTCCTGCCACGCGACGCGCGCGGCCCTCCGCCGCCCGCGCTCCGGCCAAGCGCTGTGCGGGCCCTGCTTCTGCACCGCCTTCGAGGCCGAAGTGCTGCACACGGTGCTGGCGGGCCGCCTGCTGCCGCCTGGCGCCGTGGTGGCCGTGGGCGCTTCCGGCGGCAAGGACTCCACGGTGCTGGCGCACGTGCTACGCGAACTAGCGCCGCGCCTGGGCGTCTCGTTGCGCCTGGTGGCGGTGGACGAGGGCATCGGCGGCTACCGGGACGCGGCGCTGGCGGCCGTGCGGCGCCAGGCCGCGCGCTGGGACCTCCCGCTCACCGTCGTGGCCTACGCAGACCTCTTCGGGGGCTGGACGATGGACGCTGTGGCCCGCAGCACGGCCGGCACCGGCCGCAGCCGCGCCTGCTGCACCTTCTGCGGGGTGCTGCGGCGCCGCGCGCTGGAGGAAGGGGCGCGCCTCGTGGGAGCCACGCACATCGTCACGGGTGAGCGCAGGCACTGCAGCCCAGGCGCGAGGGCCGGCACCTAAAGGGGGCTGTGCACGGGCCCGATATCTGGTGGAGGAGATGCTGGGGGTGCCCCGGGTGGAGGATGTCCACGAGGAGAAGCGGATATGCGTGCCCGCTGAAGGCACACGGGCGTAGCACTCGCGGGCCGGGATGGGCGCGGCAAGCTTTTGAGTCCCTGCCGTCACACTGGCAGCTAGAGGGGCGGAGGGGTACTCCCCGGCGCTGTGGTTCCCTGCATTTTAAAAAAATGACGCTCTTTGTGTCCCCCTTCATAAAAGGAGGCCAGTGAAGTGGTACCACCCATCAGAAGCCAGCTGTATTCTGAAACGCCCCTATCCTTGAACTGCTTTTCTCTGTTAGCCTCTCCTCTCTGATAACCCTTACCCTCTCCCGGTCATTACTTCCACACGTGATTCTTGACCATTTACTGTGTAGCGGATACAAGCTTGGTAGTCCAGAGCGATACCTAGCCTCAGTTACCTCTTCTGTAAAATGGGGTTATTAATATCCAGGTCCCAGGGTTGTTGGGCATTAGATGACTTATGTGTGAGGCGCTTAGACCAGAGACTGGAAAATAGTAGACCTTACGCAAATGTCGCACAAGACAGTCTCTGTGCCTGCTCTTCTCTCACACGCATATTTAAAACCTGAGAAGCTCTACTAAGGAAAATCGCACAGACTTTGCCAGTTTATAGCAGGAACACCCCGTGGAAGGAGAAAAGTAGGGGTTAGGAAGCATTTCCAGAGTGAGGCAAGTCCTGAAGGCCATTCAAGTAAGCAGTGGAGGGTGGACAGAGGGTTGGGTTCTGAGCAGAGGAAACAGCTTATGCAAAGGCCCTGAGGAGGGTTAGTATGGCCTGTTGGAAAAGCCCTGAGAAGACCAGGGTTTTACTATCTGGATTATACAGACTCACATATAAGATGACATGTAAATCTTCCCTTACCTCCACCCTGGTCTTTCTAATGCCCTGATCTGCATTCCCAGAGGCTCAAGGCTCACTTGAGAATCTCGGCTGTTTAATGTCATTTTGACTTCTGTGCAGTGGGAAGCACACTTCTGAGACTGAAATGGTATTTGTAGTGCAAAGCACTTTTACTACTTTCTGAAAAGGCAGCTAGCACAGGGCCTGGTTGGTAATAAGTGGGTGGCTAATGAGGGCACCCCGAGTTGCTCCCTGGGAGCCCGTGGGTGTTTCCCTCTTGTTTCTCACGGTGACCACCTCCAGCCTCCACCTGGCTGTCCCGTGGTGCCCAGGGGCCTCCGCGGCCCTGTCTGGCCCCTCCCTTCTGCTCCCCAAACCGCCTCTGCATCTCTCTGGGTCCTGGCTGCCGCATAGTGTCTGGGGTGTGAGGTCTCTAAGGCCCGGTCACCCACTCTGCCACTTTCCACATCCCCTCCCCGTCTCTCTCTGGGTTCTTGGGATGGGGTCTCCATGGCCCGGTCGCACACTCCGTGCCAGTCTCCAGACCTCTCCCCGTCTGGCAGGGTCGCGGCTGCCCCACGGTGGCGCCCCTGCCTCACCTGCTCCCCCTCTCTCCCCCAGGCCACAACGCCGACGACGTGGCCGAGACCGTGCTCATGAACTTCCTGCGGGGCGACGCGGGGCGGCTGGCCCGGGGCGGGGGCCTGGGCTCGCGGGGCGAGGGGGGCGCCCTGCCGCGCTGCCGCCCCCTGCAGCTGGCCTCGCAGAAGGAGGTGGTGCTGTACGCGCACTTCCGCCGCCTCGACTACTTCTCCGAGGAGTGCGTCTACGCGCCCGAGGCCTTCCGCGGCCACGCGCGCGACCTGCTCAAGCTCCTGGAGGCGGCGCGGCCGTCGGCGGCGCTGGACCTGGTGCACTCGGCCGAGCGCCTGGCCCTGGCCCCGGCCGCGCGGCCCCCGCCCCCCGGCGCCTGCTCCCGCTGCGGGGCGCTGGCCAGCCGCGCGCTCTGCCAGGTCTGCGCCCTCCTGGACGGCCTGCAGCGCGGCCGGCCCCGCCTGGCCATCGGCAAGGGCCGCGGGGGCCGCGACGAGGAGGGGCCGCCAGGGCCGCCGCCCCCGCCGCCCAGCGACCTCCGGTCTGGGCCGGGCCCCGCGGCCGGGGAGTGCGGGGCAGCCTGTAAGGAGCGCTGCGAATAAACCCCCCTCTGCCCGGAGCTGCGGTGTGAAGTTTAGAGGGGGGTGGACGGGACCAGCCAGAAGCTGAAGCTGGGACCCCTGGGTCTGAGGGAGAAGGGACTGGGACGGGAACTCTTGGATCTAAAAGAGAACTGAACAACTTCCCATTCCCAACCAGTGGGAATTAGGGGGCTGCTTACTTAGTACTCTGCCCAGTTCTGGGCATGCGCAGGATAGTCCAAGCCTTCTTGAGCACCTACTGTGTGTCATGTTTGCCTGTAGGGGGATTTGACTTGACTTGGCAGGTGGTCTCTGGTCATTTCCAGTAACCATGATGCTTATCTCTGAGGGCTGTGAGTACTACCACGCCACAAGGTCTCATTTCATCCAAACCACACACCATCTCATTGGCCTGAGGCCCCCTAACTGCCTGAGGTCACCTAGCTGGAGAAGGACGGAACTGGGGGCTCCCACTCAAATCCGCACCTGGAGCTCAAGACGGTGGACTTGCTCCCCACCCCCACCTGAATCTCTCCTGGTGTTTCTGTGTGATGGGTGAGGAGCAGCTGGGTGGGCCTGGGTCAGTGACCTAACCTCTCTGGTCTTCGGTTTCCTCCTCTGAAATGGAATTGCACCCCTCCACCCCCCCATCAAAGCACTGTTGTGAGTATTAGAAGTGCTCAACACGTGGTGGCCAACTTCATGGGTCATATTACATTTTGGCCACCAGGGGGCTCTGGGTTTCAGATTTGCTACTCCGTGCTTCCCGGAGGGTGTGAGGCGGGGAGGAGCTTCCTGCGTGACCCCTGGGGAGAGACTTGGCGTTCTCATTCCCCCTCCAAGTTCTGCTGGCTTGGTCGCTTGTCAGGAATGCCGTCCCTTTGCTATCTTCCTTCTCAAATCCTCCAGGGGACTTCTAGAAGCCTTCCTGACTCTCTCTTCTCACCTGCCCAGCCAGGGACATAGGGCTCTTCCCAAGTCCCAGCTCCCGGGGCCTGCCCTCATGTGTGGCCACCCACACTCTGGTTCTTGTTCTCCCTAACTGGAATGAGGTTTGAGGGCAGATCTCCCGCCGCACCAGATAACCAGCATCATTTATTCAGTATGTATAGAATCCCTAATGTGTGCAGGGACATTTCTAGACATTGTTGAAAAAACAACAACAAACAAAACCCTCTCGCTCAGGGCTCCTGGCTGGCTTGGTCGGTGGAGCATGCAGTTCTCAATATTGGGGTCGTGAATTCGAGCCCCACATTGGGTGTAGAGATCACAAAAAATAAATAAATAAACTTAAAAAAAAAAGTCTCACTCGTGGAGCTTCCAGTATTGCGAGAGAGGGACACTAGACAAATCTGGAAGCCTGATGAAGGCTGCTATGAATAACAAAGCAGCGGAAGGGGAAGGGGTGTGAGGCAGGTGCTCTATCAGTTCAGGAGGTCAGGGTTTGAGAAAGTGACTTCAACAGAGACCGAAATAAAGCAAGGAAGGTTTCTAGCTATGTCGGAGTATCTCTGGTCTGAACAACACTGCCGCTGAGACCAACTGAAAAGAAAAAATGGATCTATAACAAAGCAATCTCTTTGAAGACATCAAAGAGGTACCAAGGGGACCAGGATCCCACAGAATAGGCTCATTTTTGCTGCAGGGACTCGTTTCTGCTGAGGAATGGGCAGAAAGCATGGGCTAAGAGGCTGGGGATCGGAGTGGAGCTTTCAACATTGTGATGGGACAGGAGACAGTATTGGAGTCCAGGACTAGTGGGTGGGGACTCGAGGGGCCAGAATCAGGGGTGAAGGGATGAGCATTGAGGTCAGCCAGACACTGTGTTCATATGTTCTCCTGGAGGGTTTCATGGAACCAGGGTAATAAATTGGATGCTCAGGGTCTCGTACAAAATAGAGGCCTGGTAAGCACCTGTTAGCACCCAAATAAGGTCACAAATTAGAAGTAAGGGTCAACTAGGGGTGCCTGTGTGGCCCAGTGAGTTAAGCCTCTGCCTTCGTCTCAGGTCATGATCTCAGGGTCCTGGCATGGAGCCCTGCATTGGGCTCTCTGCTTGGCGGGTAGCCTGCTTCTCCCTCTTTCTCTGCCTGCCTCTCTGTTTGTTTGTGATCTCTCTGTTAAATAAAAGATAAAATCTTAAAAAAGAAGAAGAAGAAGAAGTAGTAGGGTCACCTAGAAGTAGACCCACCCACAAAAACACCAGAACCTAGCTTCAAACACACTCAATCCCAGACCAGTGAAGAAGGTCCCTACTTTGCTTGCCAGAAAGCAGAAGCAGGGGTAGCCCTAGCCGCTGAGCCTATTTACCCTTATGTTGATTAAAATTGAATTTAGGGGCTCTTGGTTTCAGCTCAGGTCATGATCTCAGGGTCCTGGGATGGAGCCTCATGTAGGGCTCCGTGCTCAGCAGGGAGTCCGCTTCCCTTCTCTCTCTCTTTCTCTCTCTCTGAAATAAATCTTTTAAAAATTTTTATTTAATTCAAAACACAGTTCTTTGGTTACACTAAACCCATGTCAAGTGCTCCACAGACACACAGGGCCAGTGGCTGCCATACAAAACCATGCAGACACATTCTTCCCATTGTCACAGAACCTTCCCTTTTGCAGAGCTGTTCTAGAGACTTCTAGAATCCAGGGGGGAAAGATACCCACCCAAGCCTCAGGAAATCTCTGCAATTTTCATACAAAATACCTGACTTTCAATTTAAAAATCTGCCAGGGGAAAGGACAAAATGATGGCATACGAAGAGAAAAACAGCATAGACATGACCACGGGTGATCTTGATGGAGAAGTTTTAGGCGTGAACTGGAACCATTATCACCATGCTTAAGAAAATAGACAATAAAATGGAAAATTTCATTGTTGAGTCGGATTGCATTTTTAAAAACACCAGACAGGATCAAATCACCAATACGAGACTTAACATTCCTAATGTAAACAAGTATAAAACTGTATGTAGCGTGTGGGGCATTTCACTGTCTCACTTCCCATGCAGGCTGTCTTCCCTGATGACCAACACCAGCCTCAAGCCCACTACCACCCACCTGGCCGGGTGCCCACAGAGGCAACGGCTGCTCAGAGAACTTTCTGGAAGCTCCCGCTTTGGGCTCCCATGTTGGCAGCTGCACATTCTCTGTAAACTCTGACATGTCCCCTCCCCCCACACACACCTGTACTTCAGGAGAGCTACGGACGCATGATGCTCTCTCTCTCCCCTCCTGCCCCCTCTGGGACCCTTCTCCCCAGTGATGACCAGGGAGGAGAAAGCTGAGCTCTTTTCACTGCAGAACAGGTGTAACCTGTCACGGGGCCCCTCCCCTCGCACTCCCTACTCAGGTTGCCTCATCCCAAGTTCATTCCGCCCCCCCCATCTCAGAATATGGATGCGGGGTGTCCCTGTCCACTCAGGATTCTTGGACCACTCTCTCAGAGCAGGAGCGTCTGGGGGCCAGGACTTACCTGAAACTGAATCTTTTCTGCATCTGGCTCTTAGCCCAGACTTGGTCAGACACGAAGCCTCCAGAAAGCAAGGCTGAACCCAGGCTCATCTGCAGGGATCCCTAGGGCCCACCCACCACTAGAACTGAGATCTGGGGCCCTGGCTCCAGCCCCAGACTTGCCTGTGACGTTTGCAGGTTTATGGTGTCAATATGAACTCAGGACCTGTGTGTGGCTCGTTCTTGGGTTTCCCTAGGGCCCTACAAGTCACTCATCTTCAGAATGAGTCCTAACCTCAGCATTTCCTTTAGCTCCATGAGGCCTCCTCTGTGGTACTTACTGGATCTTCCTTCCTTACCCACCACTATTTCCCCCGATCTCGAGGCCTGACTGAGACCTGAATATTTACCTTTCATATAAAATGAAGGAAAACTTAGAATTTATCTCTGTGACCCACCAGCTCCCAACATAAGATCTCAGCCTAGCTTCTGATGCTTCATTCCTTCAACGGAGCTGAATCAGAGCTCGCCATGGCACCAGGCACAGAGCAGGATTACAAATCATGCTGTCATCGAGTTCCTTGGCACTACAAGGAAGGGATTAAAAGCAGGAGCAGGGACACCTGGGTAGCTCAGTTGGTTAAGCGTCTGCCTTCAGCTCAGGTCATGATCCCTGGGTCCTGGGATCAAGTCCCACATCAGGATCCCTGCTCAGCAGGGAGCCTTCTTCTCCCTCTGCCTACTGCTCCCCCTGCTTGTGCTCTCTATGACAAATAAATAAAATCTTTTTTAAAAAAGCACAAGCAAATATCAACACATGGAAAGTGAGGGGAAGAAGGGGAGGAATGGGACCCAGAGAAGGTTTTCTGAAGGGCGTTAAGGCAGAGTCAGCCCTGGGGGGCAAGGCATCCCGTGTTCTGTGAGTAGTGCATTTTGTCTATGACGTTAACTAAGCCCCCAGGATGAGGAGGTTCTCAGAGGAAAAGGGGACGCTTGGCCAGTACCTCTGCCCCTAGGACAGAATATCACACCAGTCCCATTCCCCAGCCCTCCTGTCTGCATCTGAGGCAGCTCAGGGATCTGCCTCCAGGGGGCGCTCCACCTACAATGCCAGACCTGGAGACCTCCCCGCCCAAGGGTTGGCGCTGTCCGTGGTTCTGGAGCAAAGCTGGGTGAGTTCAGGAACCCCAACTCTGCCAAGGACCCCAATCCACAGGCACAGGTTCCCGAGCTCTAGGCCAGCAGGGCACCTAAGTAGGAGCGGTTTCCAAAAGGCTGGGTCCCTCCTGGCAAGGAGGAGCCAGAAGAAGTGGTGGGAGTGGGCTGGGCTCATCTCTGTGCTTTTCCCTTCAGCCCTCTTGTTGCCCTAACATTCTTTGGACCTCGTGGTGCAAGCCTGGTGAAGAGACAAGGAGGAACAAGGTCTTCTGTGAGGTTCCAGATTATGCTCATGCTGCTGGCCTTTGACCCAAACTATTTTTTTAAAGATTTTATTTATTTATTTGAGAGAGAAAGAGAGAGAACATGCCCACGACAGCAGAGGAGAGCAGCAGAGGGAGAGGGAGAAGCAGGCTCCCCGCTGAGCAGGGAGTCTGACAGGGGACTTGATCCCAGGACCCCAGAATCATGCCCTGAGCTGAAGGCAGATGCTTAACGACTGAGCCACCCAGGCATCCTGGACCACACTTACTAGCAAGTCTGTGCCCAGATCTCCCCTCAAGCAGAGGATAGGAAAGAGGTGGGTGTTCACTGGAGCTCCTCCTGTGCCAGGCTCAGGACTGTGCCTTTCTGCACATTGCCCCACTGAACCTTCACGACCACCCCTAGAGAGGACTGGCTAACAATTCCCATCTGGCAGAGTGGGAAATGAGACTCGAAGTGGTAAGCAACCGTCACAGGGTCTCACATCATTGATGAATATTCGGAGGCTGGACTCGTGACCCACACATGCTTGAGGCCATAGAGAGGGATACCTTAATGAATGGCACTCTGGTCCCAGAAAAGGAGATGATGCACAGTGGGGAGATGTCTTATTTGTAAGGGATAGGACTTATCTTATCAGATAAGGACTATCTGACAGTAGTCCAGGACTGATGGCAGCCACAGACCACAGGAGAGACCTCCATAGGAGGAGGCGTCTAAAGGAATCAACATCATGTCTCCAAGGAGCAGCCCCTATGCCATCTTCCAACTGGTCCAGGAGACTCTGCTGCTAATGAACATGCAACATGCTCATGAGTATTAACAGTGGATTTCACTTTGCATTTGCAACCGGAATGTCCCTAGAAGGGGAAGTTCCCCAGAGAACTTCATATCTTAGGGAAGCTACCAAGCTTATCAGGCCACCACTAAGAATTAAGATCTCAGTGTGACCTACAGAGAGGGTAGTTTTTAGGCCAGCTATGGAGAAGCAGGGGACTGGGGAAGAAGCTGTGCTGCTGCCCCTCAGAACAATTTGTTACTTAAATTGTAACCCTTGGAGGATTTCACTAGTTGCCAAGCACATCTAGATATGGCCTTAAGAAATACGTATACTGGCAACAGGTCTTTGGGGAGAAGGACGATATACGACCGTGAAGCTGGGCAGCTGGGGATGCCCCGGCTCGCTCAGGGTAGGAGGCCGCCCCTTCACAGAAGCCGAGCACCCAGGAATGCCCGGCCCGCCCAGGGCGGAACGCCACCTGCTTCAGGGAAGCCGAGCACCTGGGAACACCCGGTCAGCTCAGGGTGGAACCAAACCCGCCTGCTTCCCTTTTCCGTGATCGCTCCTTTCTCTTCCCAGAAGCGCCCGTTGTTAGTTAGATGAGTCCTTTGAATGTGCTTGGTTAACTATAAACTTTGTCCTCCTCCTCGCTCGTCCGCAAGCCGAGACTAACATCTGACCTTCATCGGTCCTTCTGTTGGCTATTGTTTCTATCTAATAAAAGTGAGACTGTGGTGTTGCTCGTGGCAGCCGTCTTTTCGACGGTTGTCCCCTGCCCCCAATCTCTTGCAGCTGACTTGTTTGTGCCTAATTCTTCTCCCGTCGCTGGCTGGAAGCGGCAAAGCTGGGCATGAGCGGGAAGAATGTGCGGGAATTTGTTTAAAAAAAAAAAAAAAAACTCTGGGACACCTGCCTGGCTCAGTTTGTGCAACATGCAGCTCCTGATCTCAGGTTTGTGAGTTTGATCTCCAGTTTGGGTGTAGAGATTACATAAAAATAAAAACTTAAGAAAAAAAAAACCCTCGTATCATCTTCTACCTGTCAGAATGGCTAAAATCAAAAACATGAGCGGGCGCCTGGCTGGCTCAGTCAGAAGAGCATGTGAGTTTGAGCCCCATGTTGGCTGTAGAGATAACTAAAACAAAATAAACTTTCCCCCCAGAGGTTTTATTTATTTACTTGAGAGACAGAGAGAGAGAGAATGAGCAAGGAGGAAAGGGAGAAGCAGGCTCCCCCCTGAACAGGAAGCCTGATTCGGGGCTCTATCCCAGGACCCCAGGGACAAGACAGGACAGGACAACCTGAGCCAAAGACAGAGGCTTAACTGACTGAGCCATCGAGGTGCTCCTAAAACAAAATAAACTAAAAACAAAACCAAAACCAAGAAACAACAAGTGTTGGAGAGGCTGTGGAGAGAAAGGAACCCTCCTGCACTGTTGGTAGGAATGCAAGCTGATGCAGCCACTGTGCAGAACAGTTTGGAGTTTCCTCAAAAAGTTAAAAATAGAACTACTGTAGTATCCGTAATCGCACTGAGTATTTACCCCAAGAATACAAAAACACTAATTCCAAAAGGTATATGTTTTGGAATTTACCTACATTTACTGCAGCATTATTTACATTATAATAATTTGGCTATTATTTACAATAGCCAAATTATGGAAGCAGCCAAAGTGTCCACTGGTAGGTGAATGGATAAAGAAGATATGGGATATTAGCCATAATCTTCTAATAATCTTCCAATAATATTCCAATACAGTGGAATATTAGTGTAAGGGCCTATTCAGCCAGAGCAGCCCCACCCTGGTTGAACTGCCATTTTGCTGTAAAGCTTAAATTGACCCCCCCTCCCCCGCCAGGGGAACTTATTTAAAAGCAAGTCCGGGAAACCAGTCCCAGGTAACAAAGTCCAAGTACAAGGGTGGGTCAGGCCAGGTGGAGGTATTCAATTAGTCGGTGCGCATATTGTCTCCTAGCTACCAAGGAGTATGCGCCCCCACCCTTTGGGAGTCTTTTGGCGCCAATCCTAACCAAGGTGTGATAGGCTGGTTCAAATGTCTACTAGGGTAAATTGTAATTCAGTTGGTCACCTAGCATCACTGTGGAGTTTCCTGTGGGTGTTACAATCTCATTGGCCACCTGTGTGTGGCCAGGCCCAACCACATGGCCTTTGCTCTATAAAAGTTAGCCTGGAAAGCAGGGAGGGGCCCGAGAGGCGGCCCCGACCAGTTTGTTTGACGGTCGGTATGATTCCTGATGCTTGGCGTGAAATAAAGCTTTGCTTGACCTTCGCTTTGTATCAGTCTCGTGCCTTTAATCATGGACCCATTATTGGGGTACCCAATTTTGGGGGGACCCAACATTAGCCATACACAGGAATGAAATCTTGCCTTTTGCAACAACATGTATAGAACTGGAAAGTACAACGCTAAGTGAAATAAGTCAGGGAAAGACAAATGCCGTATGATTTCACTTGTATGTGAAATTTGAGAAACAAAACAAATGAACAAAGAAAAAAGAGACAAACAAACAGACTCTTAACTATGGAGAACTGAAGGGAGTGGCGTTAGGTGGGGGGATGGGTGAAATAGGAGAAGGGGATTAAGAGTACTTGTACCATGATGAGCCCTGAGTAATGTACAGAACTGCTGAATCACTGTACTATACAGCTGAAACTAACATGACATTAACTATACTGGAATTTAAAAAAATAATGTCATTTAGGCCAAATCCCAAACTGGGACTTAACACAAAACCTAACTGTAGTTTCAGTCTCCTATCATCAGGGCTCAGGAGTGCAGGAGCAGCTGGCTCCAGGAGTCCCAGACAGATGGGTTCAGCCACTCCAAAGGTAGAGAGACAAGCGGTGGTGAAACAAGGCAGGAATTTACTCCAGGGAGGCCAACACTGGGACCACAGTGGACTAACGTCTCCAAGACTGTCTTCAGAGTGCTGAAAATCTTCCTAAGTTTATATGAGGAAAATGTGGGCGGCGTCGGGGTGGCTCAGTCGGTTAAGTGTCCGACTTGATTTCAGCTCAGGTTATGATCTCAGCTCAGGTTATGATCTCAGGGTTGTCCGATTGAGCCCCACATCAGGCTCCACGCTCAGCACAGAGTCAGCTTGAGATTCTCTCTCTCTCTGCCCCTCCCTCCCCACTCCCATCCCTCGCACACACTCGTGCTCTCTCTCTCTCTTAAAAAGAAAGGGTAGCCTGGGTGGGTCAGTTGTTAGGCATCTGCCTTCGGCTCAGATCATGATCCCAACATCCTGGGATCAAGCCCCACGTCAGACTCCCTGCTCGGCAGGGACCCTGCTTCTCCCTCTCCAGTTCCCCCTGCTTATGTTCCCGCTCTTGCTTTCTCTCTGTCAGATAAATATAATCTTTTAAAAATACAATAAAAATTAAAAAGAAAAGAAAGTACGTGAGGAAGAGCAGTGGGGACATGCTGTTAGGCAGGACAGGTCTGGTGGATGGTTGTCTTGGGGTCAGACCTACTGGGTCTCGCTGGCTCAAGGCAGTGTTTATTGGTTGAGGGGGTAGTTTCACTTCCCATCGCGGATGCTCCCCCCTCCTCCAAGGTCTCCTGCCTGAGTTCAGAGATAAGCTGGAATGAAGAACTTAATCAATTAGAAAGTACAGACTAAGGCAGCGCCTGCGTGGCTCAGTCTCGTGAAGGGTCCAATTCTTGACCTCAGCTCAGGTCTTGATCTCAGCGTGGTGAGTTCAAGCCCCAGGATGGGCTTCACGCTGGGCATGGAGCCTACTTCAAAAAAAAAGTACAGACTGAGGTCAAAGTGGAGCTGGTTGACATCCTCTGTCATTCCCCAGAGACGCAGTCCTAGCTGGTCAGTCAGGAATTTTCTGATCAGCGCCAAAGAGTCTGCCACAAGGGCCCCTCCATCCCCCAAAGGAAGATGAGGTAATCTTAGGAGGACACCCTTTACCTTCACCGGCACCGGCATGACAGTGCTGCTGGGGAAGTTTCAGCAGCTTTCATTTTAGTGCTTTCTTGAGAAAAAAAAAAAAATAACAAGTTAGTTCAACTTTACAGGAGAGGCGAGAATGAGCTCTTTCTTCCAGGCTCTGAGCCGCAGTGCGTGCAAGGACTCAGGGGCGAAGGACCAGCCCCTGGACACCAGGTGAATCGAAGAGGCAGGGCCTCCAGGGGAGGGATCTCAAACTGCACAGCCGTGGGCTGGAACAACACAGAGGTTGTAAGGAAGAAAGAAGAGAGAAGTGCAGATGAGCGGGGCCAAGGAACAAAAATTCCACCGAGTAAATCTGAGGATGTAATTGGCTCTATTCAATGACTCCTGAATCCGGCAGCATCCCATCCCGTAAAGAGACAGGCACTCTGAGGGGCTGCACGTAGGGGAAAGTTTTTATAGGCAGGAGGGTGGGACAAGGGAGTTATTATCAAAAGAAAAGATTTTTTTTTTCAGGTCGGGCCATTTTTGGGGGGAAGCTCTCACCCTGCTGGTGACCTCATCAGGGCTGACCAGGAAATTTCAGACCCTCTGTTGAAAGGCCACATTTCTGGGAGAGGTTGAGACTGCTGTTACTCTTGGTTTGCTCAGTTGTGGGGGCAAGTGTCTCCACTTCGCGTCTGTGGTTTCTTTTCCAACAGTAGCTAGCAGGGAGGGCGTGATGGACTTTAAAAGCTGGGGGCAGCCAATGCTCGTGATGTATTGTCTAAGGCCAGAGAGCCTTGAAGGCGGTTGTGCAGGAGACCCCGCGTCAGCTCTCTGGCTGCTGGACACATCGCTGTGGGGCCCATCCGTGAGACAGGGAAGGGACTGGAGGTCAGGAGGTGAAGGAATGTGCTGGAAGAATTGACAGGTACAAGTGCGATGAGAAGACTCCACAGAGATGATAAGAGGCACATATGTCATGAAGCAAACACCAGGCTGAGCGACTGGTCTTTCTTTCCCTGAGGGGGCTCTGAAGAGCACTGGGAAGGAGAATGACACCAGCAGGTCGCTACGCTGTGCTCTGGACCTGGTCATCCCGAGCCTCAGGGTAACTTGCCAATTATTTTTCTGTCCAAAGAAGAGAGAGCAGTAGGTACTGAGCATAGGTAAGGCAGTTGAGACGGGACTTTTGTTGGTTGATTTCTGTGTGTTAATTTCTTTAATGTCCACAACCACCTCTGAGGCAGAATGCGTGATCTCTGATTTACAGAACAGGAAACTGAGGCACAGAAAGATGAAGTGACTTCCTTGGCAGCCTACATGAGAGCCCGAGTCGGCTCTACCTGGGTACGTTCGGCCAGTCCTTCCTGTTCATATTGCCACAGGGGTCCACATGCTTTGCTGATTAGTGCCTGACTTCTCCTCTGCCCCAGGAGCTGCGATTCCTTGGGCCAGCCCCAAGCTCTAAGCCGTCCTCATTTGTCTTGATCTCTGAGTACACGCTGGTGCCTACGCTCTCCTCATCCTTAGGCTCCCTCAGCTTCATCCCTTGAAAGCTGAAGGAGGCGTAATGGAGCTCCTGTTGCTCCCCTGAGGGAGGGGCATCCCCAGTAGGGGTTGCTTGGGTTGGGGGGCTGTCTGGACAGGACTTTTGCCTGGAACCCTGAAGAAAGGAGAAACAAGGGAGTCAGAGAAGAAATAAGGCAAGTATGGGATAATGGGACATTTATTCATTCATTCATTCATCCACCTATTCACACACACTTCCTATGAATCCAACGCTTCACTCATCCATTTAAAATCCTGTAATAATGCTGGGGTGCCTGGGTGGCTCAGTCGGTTAAGCATCTGCCTTCGGCTCAGGTCATGATCCCAGGGTCCCAGTCCCAGGACTGAGTCCTGCATCGGGTTCCCTGCTCAGCAGAGATCTGCTTCTTCCTTTGTCCTTCCCCCGACTCACGCTCTCCCTCAAATAAATAAATAAATAAAATCTTAAAAAAATAAAATAAAATTCTGTAATGCTACGACTGATTAGGCCATATTGAAGGCTTACTAATCAGTTTAATCCCCACAGTGTGAAGGATACTGATTTCCCCCATTTTACAGATTAGGGAGACTGAGGTGGGGAAGGTAAAGTAACTTGCCCTCTAGTCACCAGCAGAGCCAGGAACAAAATGAGTTCTGTTGTGTTATTGGAAATAAAAAGGGGAGGAAATACTCGGACAAAATAAAGATAAAATTCCCAGAATTGAAGAAAGATAAACCAACACAGCTGAAAAGGGCCCCACAAATGGAAGATTTTAAAAAGAGCAGGGGAGGGGCACCTGGATGGCTCAGTGGGTTAAAGCCCTGCCTTCAGCTCGGGTCATGATCCCAGGGTCCTGGGATTGAACCCCACATAGGGCTCTCTGCTCAGTGGGGAGCCTGCTTCCTCCTCTCTCTCTGCCTGCTTCTCTGCCTACTTGTGATCTCTGTCAAATAAATAAAATCTTAAAAAAATAATAAAAAATTTAAAAAAAAATTTTTAAAGAGCAGGGAAACCACATACCCTAATACAGCACAGTAAATCTTAAGAATACCAAAACTGGGGGCACCTGGGTGGCTCAGTGGGTTAAGCGACTGACTTCAGTTCGGGTCATGATCTCAGGGTCCTAGGATCAAGCCCCCACATCTGGCTCTTTGCTCAGCAGGGAGCCTGCTTCTCCCTCTCTCTCTGCCTGTCACTCCCCTAGCTTGTGTGGGCCCTCTGTGCTCTTTCTCTGTGTGTGTGTCAAATAAACAAACAAAATCTTAAAAAAAAAAAAAAGAAAGAATATCAAAACCGAAGAGAAAAATGTAAAAGTTTCCAGTGACAATGAGTGGATCGCTTAGAAATGTGCAAGGTTCATAAAGACATAAAATTTCCTTTTCTTTTTTTTTCCTTTTTTTTTTGAGAGAGAGACAGAGCGCATGTATTCAAGCAGCGGGAGGGGCAGAAGGAGAGGGAGAGAGAATCTCAAGCAGATTCCCCAGTGAGCACAGAGCCCGACATGGGGCTAGATGTCACGATCCTGAGATCATGACCTGAGCTGAAATCAAGAGTCAGAAACTTAATCACCTGAGCCACCCAGGTGTCCCTAGACATAACCTTTCTTAACTGTGACACTGGGTACAAGAAACAAGACAGTACAGTGTTGAAAGCGTTGAAGAAAGAGGATGCATGGCTGGCTCAGTGGGTAGAGCTTGTGACTCTTAATCTTGGGGCTGCAAGTTTGAGTCCCATGTTGGGTATAAACATTCCTTAAAGGATAAATAAGATAAAATAATAAAATAAAGCATTGAAGGAACATCAGTTTGTTCCTAGAAATTATATCCTGCCAAATGAAATTCAAATGTAGGAGCATGAAAAAAAATTTCAAACACACAAGTCCTCAGAAGTCTTAACACAAGAAAACCCATATTGAAAGCATATTGGGAGGAAGAATTCAAATAAAAGTAAAAAAACCTGAAAATGCTGCAATAAATCTGGGGTACAAAGGTGACAAAGTACCTCAGTAAAATGTGTGGCTGTATCTTAAAAGACCAAATTAAAAAATGTTAAGTATGTTCATAATAACCCAGAATGAAAAATGAAGATCTAGAAAAAGCACCAACATCTTGGAAAGTGGAGGGAAAGGAGAACAAGAGATATATAAAAGAACACTAAAGTTTTTGTTGGATATAAGAGAGATATTAATTTTTTAAGAAAGGAGAAAATGGAATATTGAAAAAAATGGAACCTAGAGGATAAAGTATTTCTAAAATATGTGGGCTCACAACACTGAGATCAAGAGTCACAGGCTCTTCCTACTGAGCCAGAAGGTGCCCCATGATAATTTTTAAATCGAAAAAAAAGCCCATTAAAATGGCCAACAAACACATGAAAAAGTGCTCAATATCACTTGCATCATGGAAATACAAAGCAAAAACCACAATGAGATACCATCTCACACCAGTCAGAATGGCTAAAATTAACAAGTCAGGAAACGACAGATGTTGGCAAGGATGTGGAGAAAGGGGAACCCTCCTACACTGTTGGTGGGAAGGCAAGCTGGTGCAGCCACTCTAGAAAACAGCATGGAAGTTCCTCAAAAAGTTGAAAATAGGGGCACTTGGGTGGCTCAGAGGGTTAAGCCTCTGCCTTCGGCTCAGGTCATGGTCTCAGGGTCCTGGGATCGAGCCCCGCATCGGGCTCTCTGCTAGGCGAGGAGCCTGCTTCCCCCTTTCTCTCTCTGCCTGCCTCTCTGCCTCCTTATGATCTCTCTCTCTGTCAAATAAATAAATAAAATGTTTTTTTAAAAAAGAGCTACCCTATGACCCAGCAGTTGCACTACTGGGTATTTACCCTAAAGATACAAATATAGTGATCCAAAGGGGCACATGTACCCGAATGTTTATAGCAGTAATGTCCATAATAGCCAAACTATGGAAAGAACCTAGATGTCCATCAACAGATGAATGAACATAGAAGATGTGGTATATATACACAATGGAATACTATGCAGCCATCAAAGGAAATGAAATCTTGCCATTTGCAGTGACGTAGATGGAACTAGAGGGTATTATGTTAAGCAAGATAAGTCAGAAAAAGACAATTATCATATGATCTCTCTGATATGAGGAATTTAAGAAACAAAACAGAGGATCATAGGGGAAGAGAGGGAAAAAAGCAAGAAGAAATCAGAGAGGGAGACAAACCGTAAGAGACTCTTAATCGTAGGAAACAAACTGAGGGTTGTTGGAGGAGTGGGGGTGGGGGGATGCGGTAACTGGGTGATAGGCATTAAGGAGGACATGGGATGTAATGAGCACTGGGTGTTATATAAGACTGATGAATCACTGAGCTGTACCTATGAAACCAGTAATATATTACATGTTAATTTTTTTTTAAAACCTGTTAAAAATACTTCAGTGTCGGGGTGCCTGGGTGGCTCAGTGGGTTAAAGCCTCTGCCTTCGGCTCAGGTCATGATCCCAGGGTCCTGGGATTGAGCCCCGCATCGGACTCTCTGCTCGGCGGGGAGCCTGCTTCCTCCTCCCTCTCTGCCTGCCTCTCTGCCTACTTGTGATCTCTGTCCGTCAAATAAATAAATAAAAATCTTCAAAAAAATACTTCAATGTCTATATACAAATTATTAGAACTAACAAGGGAGCTTAGGGGTGCCTGGCTGGCTCAGTCGGTGGACCATGCCCCTCTTGATTTCAGGGTTTGTAAGTCTGAGCCCCACAATGGGTGTAGAGATTACTTAAAAATAGAATCTTTAGGGGTGCCTGGGTGGCTCAGTAGGTTAAGCCTCTGCCTTCGGCTCAGGTCATGATCTCAGGGTCCTGGGATGGAGCCCCACATCAGGCTCTCTGCTCAACAGGGAGCCTGCTTCTCCCTCTCCTCTCTGCCTGCCTCTCTGCCTACTTGTGATCTCTGTCTGTCAAATAAATAAATAAAATCTTTTAAAAAAATGGAATCTTTAAAAAAAAAACTAACACGAGAGCTTAGCGAGCTGGAAGAATATAAGAGCAATATATTTGTAATTGCTTTTCACGCATTGCTGCATCTACAGAGAGAACGAAGACAATTCTCAGCATCCAGACCAGCACCCCAAAGAGCTGGGTGTCACTGGGAAGAGACGAACATTTACAGTGGATCCCCAGAAGAACTCTGCAGGGGTGTTCGGCCCCACCACGGTAGAAAGTAGAAGAAGAAGCTGCATGGACACATTAAGGAACTGGCTACTGTTGACTCTTTTGCCACCTACTACCCACACTCCTTGTGACACAGACCTCTGTGACCAGAAAACAGAGTCTGAGTGTGCTCACTTTCCTACCACTGATTCAGGAGACTGAGTCACTTACTGAAATTCGAAAACTCTTAGAGGAAATATATGTCTGCAGAGGATGCAGTACATAAAGGCCAAAAGGACGAGTTGATTCTTGAAGGAAATGACATTACATTTGCATCAAATTCAGCTACTTTGATTCAGCTAGCCATGAGGGTTAAAAACAAGAATATCAAAAAAAAAAAAAAAAAAAGACTATCACAAATTTTTCAGATGGTATCTCTCTGTAAAACCAGGGTACACCAGGATACACCAGGGTTATGAGTAGATCTAAAAATGCTCCAGCTACCAAACCACTAAGAATCTAAATGACACACCATTTGTAATTTCTTTTAAATTCTAAAATGCTTTATATAAAATTTTTTGAAGTTTATTAGTATTATTATTATTTTAGTAATCTCTACACCCAACATGGGGCTCAAACCCATGACCTGGAGATCAAAAGTTGCATGCTTCTCCCACTAAGCCAACCAGGTGTCCTAACGCTTCATAATTTTTTTTAAAGATTTTATTTATTTATTTGACAGACAAAGATCACAAATAGGCAGAGAGGCAGGCGGGGGGTGGGGGGGGAAGCAGGCTCCCTGTTTAGCAGAGAGCCCGATGTGGGGCTCGATCCCAGGACCCTGAGATCATGACCTGAGCTGAAGGCAGAGGCTTTAACCCACTGAGCCACCCAGGCACCCCAAATTTTTAACAAATGTTTTCATTCTGTGTATCATTGATGAATGATCAGAAAATGCACTTTTTAAAAGATAGCATTTGTAGTACTAACAAAGCTGGTTATTAAGGAAGTAAAATAAAAGATTGCAAGACCTGTCTGAAGGAATTCTACATCTTTCTTGGAAAAAACTGAACTTAATATCTGTTTTTATGGACAAGAAGACCGGAATTTATAAATAAGTAAATTCTTCCCAAGTTGATCTACAGATTCAATGTAATTCCAATAAAAACACCAATAGGAGGGCTTTTTGGAATGTGATAAACTAGTTCTAATGTTTAAATAGATTGGCAATGGGGCGCCTGGGTGGCTCAGTCAGTAGAGCATGTGACTCTTGGTCTCGGGGTTGTGAGTTTGAGCTCCATATTAGGCATGAGTCTACTTAAAAAAAAAAATGAAATAAAGGGGACACCTGGATGGCTCAGTCATTTAAGTGTCTGCCTTCAGCTCAGGTCATGATCTCAGGGTCCTGGGATAGAGCCCTGTATCAGGCTCGCTGCTTGGCGGGAAGCCTGCTTCTCCCTCTCCCACTCCCCTTGCTTGTGTTCCCTCCCTCGCTGTCTCTCTCTCTGTCAAATAAATGAATAAAATCTTAAAGAAAAACGATTTTATTTATTTATTTTTCAGGGAGAGAGAACACAAGCAAGGGTAGTGGAAGAGGGAGAAGCAGGCTTCCCACTGAACAGGGAGTCCAACATGGGGCTCCATCCCAGGACTCCAGGATCATGACCTGAGACCAAGCAGACATTTAACAACAGAGCCACCCAGGTGCCCAATAAAATCTTTTTTTTTTTTTTAAAGAAACTATACTTGAATATCCTTCTAATCCTAGGGTAAGAAAGATTTTCTTAAATGAGACCCAAAGTCACTCAACAGAAAGGAAGAGATTGTTGAATATGGTTATATTACAATTAAGAACTAACCTTCATCAAGGTCACCTTTTTTTTTTTAAAGATTTTATTTATTTATTTGACAGAGAGAAATCACAAGTAGGCAGAGAGGCAGGCAGAGAGAGAGGAGGAAGCAGGCTCCCTGCTGAGCAGAAAGCCCGATGTGGGGCTCGAACCCAGGACCTGGGATCATGACCTGAGCCAAAGGCAGCGGCTCAACCCACTGAGCCACCCAGGCGCCCCAAAGGTCACCTTTAAAAAAGTGAAGACAAGTTACTCACTGGAGAAGATATTTACAATGCATATAATGGAGAAAAGGTAGTATGAAAATGTATAAAACTCTCCAATAAACTCAGTAACAAAGTCGAACACCCAATAGGAAAATGGGCTGCTGATGGGACCAGGCATTTTAGACAGGAGGTGTTCATATACCAGCGAGGGCAGAGACATTTTCATCCTCATTGACAACCAAAGAAATGCAAGTCAATACCAGAGTGAGATAGTGAGATGGAAAAAAAAAAATTAGAAAACCAAGCACTACAGAGATTATAGACCAACAGCATGTGATAGGCATAGATGGATGTATAAACGGATGCGTTTGCTCTGGAAAACCCGGTCAATCAGAACATTCACATACCTTCCCACCTAGTAACTAAATTCTTATGTAACAATGAAGAAAAACTCTTGCATGTGAATGCAATGAGATATGAACCAGAACATCTGGAACAATTCAAATGTCCAGCAACAGGACCTTAGGCAATAGACATAATCATAAAATGAAACAGCGGCAATGTCCCGCAACACAGATGGTTCTGCAGGACGTAACTCACGGTGCTGGGTCTACAAAAGCAAGTCCAAGAAGAATGCACAGAACGTGACCTTTGTTGGTGCAGAAGCAATGAAACTAAACAGTGACTCTTTCAGGCATATGTCCGTGGGATAACGCTAGCAAGAAAAGACTCAGCGGTGGTTCCTGGGTATGGGGTCACAGAGCAACCTGAGTGGATGGAAGTTAGGGTCAGTGTTTGAGGTCTTCGGTTGGATAGTAGGGTCGCAGCTGCTTATCATATCATGAACAAAAGGAGTAAGCACAAATGAACAACGCTTGTTCCTGCAATAAGGGGTTGGTCACGAATCAAGCATTTTGGATAACTCCATTTAGAGCGACACGGGTGCAATTTTGTAAGAGGTGAGAGGGGGCAGGTTGCACATGGAGTGAGAGACAACTGCAGCCCCCTGCCCGCAAAGACGTCACAAATACAACAGGGCAGAGACAGGCAAAGGCAGTGATGCTGTGTAAGGTGCCCCTCAAGACAGGGATGGACACGGAGCTCTCTCTATGCGAGAGAGAGACACAGACACTGGCAGGGAGGGGGATGGCAAAAGCTTCCCCGAGCAGACGGTGTTGGTACTGGAGCTGGAAGGGCGATCACACGAGGTGGTCTGGTGGAAACGGGGACAGGAGTTTGGAGGAACTGTACATGCAAAGGCTCCAAGTTGTAGGGGAGCAGGTGTGTATGGAGACTGTGAGAAAGCCAGTGTGGCTGGACCACAGCAGGACCAAGGCTGGAGTGGCCATCGGGAGACTGCTAGAGGGACTTTAAATATCAGACCAAGGAACATGACTCGATTCTCTAAACAACATCGTTGAAACTCCCAAATGGCTGGAAAGCAAGAGTCTGGGAGAGGTTCCATCAGGCTGTGTCTAGAAAAGGCCGATCAGCGGGGATGGAACAAGAGGTGACCAGAGGGCCACTGGGTCTGGGAGATGAAGGTGAAGAACAGAAGGGAGGTCAACTCCCAGGCGTCCTTCCAGGAGACCAGAGCAGAGCAGGGGGTGGGGAAACGCTGGGAGCCCCATCTGGACTAGGAAGGGACAAGCCCAACAAGCGCCCCAACTGCACGAGAGGACGCCAGCATCACTCACCCAGGCCACTGTACCCATGACAGGATCTTCGTCATCCAGGCCCTCTCGGCTCCCGAATGCTTGCTTCCTGCGGGCTTTCACTCTAAGGGGAGAAAGCAGCACACTGCAGCCACGGCTCAGGCTCACATGGGCCGGCTGCCCACTCCCTGGTGAGAGGGCGTCCAGACCCCGGACCAGCCTCAGACCTTCCTGACCTGCACATAAGCACTCCGTCCCCCTGGGTGAGCAGACGTTAGGCCGGACCAACTTCATCACTAAAGATGCCCCTAACACATAAACCCTGGGGCCCGAGTGGTCATAGCAGCGTTCTTCGTGACAGCCCAAATGTAGAAACAACCCAAGTGTCTATCAATACACGAGGGAGAAAATGGGCTCCACCCTTGCAATGGAACGGCATATGGAGATAAAGGATGAGGGTGGGTGCCTGGGTGGCTCAGCTGTTTAAGCGTCTGCTTTCAGCTCAGGTCATGATCCCAGGGTCCAGGGATCAAGCCCCACTTGGGCTCCCTGCTCAGTGAGGAATCCGTTTCTCCCTCTGCCTCTGCCTCTGTCTCTCCCCCCTACTCGTGCTGACTCTCTCTCAAATAAATAAATGAAAATCTTTTTTTTTTTTTTTAAAGGACCAAGTACTGACACATTCCACAACATGCAGGATCCTTAGCATGAAGACATGCTAAGTGAACGGGGTCAGTCACGAAGCACCCCGTGTTGCGTGACTCCACTTAACACAGAATGTCCACAATAAGAGGCAAAGGCAGAGAGACAGAAAATAGACTGGCAGTTGCCTAGCACTGGGGGAGGATGGGGCCAGGATGAAAATCAAGGAGAAAAGGGTTTCTTTTGTTTCTTTCTTTTTCATTTGGGGATTGATGAAAAAGTCCTAGAATTGGGGTCATGGATGCACAGCTCTGAATATGCTAAAAGCCACTGAATTGTACCCTGTAAACGTGTGGGAGTGGTATCGCCATGCAGCCCTTATCCCCCAGAAGAAATGTCCCCTGGATCTACTCTACTCGGCTCTGGGTTTCTGGGATTGAGTGGCCTCTCTCCGCACTCCCTGTAGCTCCCCCGACAACGACTTACACGCAAAAGAAGAGGAGGCACAGACTTAGGGACAGCAGAGCCATAGCACCGGCACCTCCAAGAGCTGCGGGCACTGCTCCTACCAGGAGCACCGGTTTCCCTGCAGGGAAGAGGCGTGGCGAGACTCACTTCCGGGACCCTGTCTCTTGCTCTCCTACTTCCTCACAGAACTTGCTGAAGGTTCAGCTTAGGACAGAGACGGAGCAGCACCCTATCCCACCAGTCGCCCCCTGTGCAGACCCCAGCCCCACCCCCAGACCTTCTTTTCTAGGATCCAGACTCCCTCCTCCTACACCTCTGCACCCGACAGCTCCCGGACCTGGGAGCAGCAGGACAGCGGCGCTCTGTTTCCCGTGGTCATTCCGGGCCTCGCAGCTGAGTCTGAGGCCGGAACCCAACGGCCCACTGAGGCTCAGGGAGCTGTTGGCCCAGGGCCCCGCAGAGCTGGAGGTGACGGTCCAGGAGGCGTTGCTCTGGTTCCCCTCCAGCAGCTCCTCCCCCAGCCGCCAGCGCAGGTTGGGCGCCGGCTGGGCTCGGGAGGAGCAGTTACAGCGCAGCCCCTCGCCCTGCCAGGAGCAGGAGGGGCTGAGCAGCCGCGGGGGGTCTGCGGGAGAAAGGGGAAGGGTCAGCGGGTCAGCGGTGCCGCTGCTCCCCAGGCCCCAGGCAGCCTGCCCCCAGGGGTCCCCACACTCACAGGCCACAGAGAGACTCAGGGAGACGTGCTGGGAGCCCAGCGGGTTCTGAGCTTGGCAGGTGAGGTCTCCTTCATGCTCCATTTGTATCTGAGGGAGCTCCAGGATCCCAGGGTGTGCGGGCTGGGAGGGGCTCAGAGTCTGTCCCCTCAGGACCCAGCTCAGCCAGGCTGGGGGGTTGCCATCAGCAACACAGAGCAGCCGTGGTGTCTGGCCTTCCTGGGTGAGAATGGCCGAGGCGTTTCCCAGAATCTTCCGGGCTTTGGGAGAGAGATGCAGAGAGAGAGAGAGAGGGAGAGCACCCGCTCCAGTTGTAGGAGGCTGGCAGTCTCCTTCCTCCCTCCTTCACAGGAGCTGGTTGGCATTTCCCTCTCCTTCCTTGACCCAATGACTCGGTTCTGTCAGGGTTGAAAGGGGCTGGCTTTACACCCCAAAGAGTTTGACCTCCTGTGTCTGCACCTCATATCTTCAGCGGAGGCTCAGTGTCCCACTGGGACATGCTTGGTGGCTTCACTCAGTGAACGCAGCAGGAAATAGGATGGAAGAGGCTGGGGTGGCGGGGTAGGCGGGAAGCCAGAGGCGTACCACTCGTGAGTTGAAACAGGCTTTGAGCAGTTAGTGTGCGTGTGTGTGCGTGTGTACACGTGTGAGCATGGGTGCGTGGGAATGCGGGTGCATGCACCCGTGGGAGGTAGGGGGCTGCTGATTTTTATTTTTGCTTTTCCCCTATCTGATCCCATTCAAGCTATGATCCCCTCCCCTTTGCTGGGAGCTGACCCCCTACTCCCACCCCAGGGCCTGGTCTCAGTCCCCAAGAAGACAGGTTCTTTCCTACCTGTGACATCGCTGGAGAGGAGGCTGATGGTGAGGTTCTGGGGAGCATCTGGGATGGAAAGATAAGGCCCTGCCTCAGACCTGAAGATTAGGATGGAAGATGACCCAGCACCCAAGGAGGGGTAGAGGACCACAGGGGACCGCAGGGAAAGTGGGGAATGCTGTCCTTGTCCACTCCCCACCTACACTCCCAAGGTGCATCTGCACACACACACACACACACACACACACACACACAGTCCCCACTGCCCTGGGGGGCCCAGCCATCCCTCCAGCACTCACAGGAGACATTGAGCCTGATGGTT